AAAAAAAAAAAAAAAAAAAAAAAAAAAAAAAAAAAAAAAAAAAAAAAAAATACACCATTTTTCGCGTAAAACAACAAATGGTAATATTTGGTACGTAATTTAGTGTCATATTTTTTGAATATTACAATTTGCCTTGTATTTAATGCCTGGACTCGTACTTACGTGTTTCTATTATTCATTCGCTGTGTTATAACTGTATATGCAATTTATTATTACTTTGAGGGGTGTATAATATAAATACGTACTGTATCAGGTTGTGCGGGAGGAGCAGGCGTTCGAGGAGCAGACAAAGCACATCAGCCACGCACCACTCCACGTATTTATTATTTACTGCCAATTTTCCCCGGTGTAGACCGCTCCGCCTCGCCAACGCCAAAGTCAATGTAAAATCCCCCATGTAACGGCGAAAGTTGTAGGTGAGGTAGATAAAGTATTGCAGGAGCAAAGAAAAAATAAATACATACTATTTTTCGTGCGATTGATCACAATTTCCAAAGTACAGAAAACTGCTTGGATAGGTACTTATCAAATTCATTTTTTTCAAGTAATAATTCAGAATATATTATAATGTTGCTGGACCAAGTTAGATTTCTGTTGTTTTTTTTTTTTTTTATTTGTATCGTTAGGGCACACAAATTTTTAAATCAATATATGAATACATTAAAAAGTACACGCACATAATACTTAGTTTGTATGCCAATAAATATACAAGTATACAAAGAAATACATGACAAGTGTCATTTTTTTTTATTACTGTACATTTTCATGCAGCATAGATACAATATTTTTCCAATAGTTGATGAAAAATTAGAACAACGAAATTGTAGTATTGTAGTAGTGTTCTGATTCATAAATATTGTGCAACTTTGAATTATACTAAGTGAGTCTTTAATAATTCAATGGCCGGAGATGCAAACTAAATCTAAACAGATATTATGTTATAATATAGATGGATAATGTATACATCCAGTCCATAGTAAACTAATCGTTAATTAATTGCAATATTCATAAATATATAGTTTTTAAATCAAAATTATACATACATACAAGTGTGTTTTTTATAAATACTACATGTATAAATAATTTGTATAATTTATATTAGTCTTTAGGTTAATACCCTACTATGAATGAAAATTTACTTTTTTCCATAATAATTTTTAAATGTGATATTAAAAGAATTGTGCACTTGTTTTGAAAATAAATAATAAAATCAAGATAAGATGTTGTCTAAAATTATTTAAGTATGAGACAAAAGCACGTCGAAATAAGCACGGAGTATCAATAAATATTTAGTAACATTATTTTCTACTGTAATAATTATTTTTCTTTACCATAATTTTTTTTTTTAATCGCCAGTAGGATTAAGATACGATATCATCGAAAAATTACATTTAAAAATCAAGGTGGAAATCACAAAAACTTTCCTCTTTCTGACGTCTATTTCACTTACCCTTTTATACTAACACTGGATAAAAAAAAAAGAAAAGAAAAAAAAAATATACTAATCACCATCCATCACGTAGGTATATATTTTTTTTATGTACACTATCTGGGACATTATTTGAGCTCACATTTTATTCGACCGAAATTTTTATACCACACAATTTTTTACCCCCATAGAATGTAATATGAACATTCGATTTCAGAATGTAATTGTGTATTTTTTCGTAGTTACATCACGTAGTCGAAATTATCGTACGCCTTTTAACACGCTTCTATAGTATAATACATTTTTGCTTATCTTAAATTTAAGTAACTTAAATAAATGGTGGGGGTATGAACGTTGATTTTATTGAAATCAGGATCATCGAGGATACTTTTCCAGTTGGGAAAAAAAAAAAAATCTTTTCACGGGTATCATCCGAAATTCCACAAGCGAACCCCTCATCCTTCGACTTCGCCAAGCAATAGGGTATATATATTTATATATGTACTTAGCAATATAATCGACTCTAACCACTATATGGAGGACGGGGACCACCGTATGGAAATATATACATATACATGATTTAGGTATACATGTATTGCACACATATTATATACATATAGGTGGGTGATTGCGCGTCATATATATTATGCTGTCTTCTCTCTTTTCTTTTTTTTACACCCTTCCCTTGTTGTATATTTGTGTACACTGGTATTATATAGTGTTACAGTAGAGTAGAGAGTGGTAGGGAGAGAGAGAGAGAGAGATTAGTACGTGCGTAATATTGAGACACATACTTGTATACACACATTGTGTGTAGTGTGTAGCCCGAGGTGTAGTGTAGCCCCTATGTTTTCAGCTATACAGGTATATAAGTAATACACGAACAACCTGGTATTGTAAGTGGGAATTTGGCGGTGAAAGTGACCGTAATCGACCGTCTCACGCAGCTCTCCGATCTCCTTTTAGTATTATTTTCAGTATACCCCCCCCCCTCCATTTGCTCAGAACAGAATGATAGATTCACAAATTCGCTCACGTAAGTATAGTAAGTGCAAGGGAGGCAGCTCGGAAAAGAAAGAACTCCATGCAAGCTCTGTTGGGTATACAACCTCAAGTACAATGTGTTCAGCTCTACGAAAAAATCGTCACTTTTTTGCAACTTAGACCCCAACTCTTTTGTACGCGTCCCTGATGGAACTCACCTTATTTTGACGCAATACGTCAGAGAAATCGTGGATAACTCTTTGAAATTTTGAACATTATTTTACGCTATAAATATATACTACTTACTGCATGGGCCCCGAATGATATGATGGGATTTACGCTCGAGTGGCGTGTACCTATACCTATCATTTTACGGTCCCCGAGAGCGCAAAGTGCTTATTTGCACCTGCTACTTAATCGCTATGCCCCCGAGGGCAGTGATGAACTTAGGGTCCGGTATGCTCAAGTCCCTTCAGGCGTATGTAATGACCGTACATGGGTATATGTGTGTCCGAGGAGCGTATGTTTTTTGTTGTTTTTTTTCATCCTCGGGGCATTTTTCGTGACATTTTGGTCGTTTACTGCGCACTCGGTAGGAAAAATAGTGTTCGCCACACAAGTGCCTCCGGTGGCGATGGCGCTTCTGTGACGAATTGGTATAGTTTTCGTCACAAAAGTGACATTGCCTCGGGAGCCATTTTACGGGCTTCGAGGGTCCTTAAGTTAGCCCAGGATGGAAGGTACTTTTGTGTACCGAACACTGTTTTTCCTACCGAAGGCCCACTCAACCCTCAAAAACGTCCAAAGTAGAAAAATGGCCTTTTTTTTTACTAAGGGCTCAAAGTGCTGTTTGTCGAGGTGTCAAGTACGACATGCAACCGATTTTTTTTTTCCTCCAACTACCCTTTATTCCCTTGGGCCCACAGTTTTACACCGTAGGGACCATTTTGCGTTCTTTAATCACTTTGTGCCTGTAGGTGGGAAACAGCCCTTTGCGCCTTTGGTAAGGAAATACTACGTTCGCCACTTTGGAGCACATGCAGAAACGTAAGACCATCGTCTGAGGCTTTCTTTGATTCTTTTAACGGGTTGTACGCGATTTTTTACTAATCCTAGCGCGGTGAAAACGTACAATTCATTCTAAAATTTTCGAAAAAAGTTGTTTTTTTTTTTTTTTTTTTTTTTTTTTTTTTTTTTTTTTTTTTTTTTTTTTTTT